GCAATTATTCTAGATTTATTATTCCCATGTTAGACCAAGCAATATTGTTCTATTGAAATATCTCTTTTTAGCACACTGGTAACAGTTCATCGTCCATAGATTGTTTTTTTTTTTTTTTGAAACTTAACGTCCATAGATTGTTTAAGGCGGTTAAGTAATCAAAGCTCTCTTTTCGCGACATCAAATGGTCTACGTTTATCAAGAAGATAATGTCAAGAAAATTTCATCAAAGAACAATTAAGTAATAAAATCATTTTATATTTCATATTTCATGAAAAATTATGAAAGCTGGTGTACGTGCTTGAACCATATAACATTCATATTTCATGGAAACATAAAATAGTGCATTTTATAATACAATTTATAGCCCTGGCACGTTATAAATATTCCAAATTAAGTACTAATTGAGAGACCTACATGCACAAAATGCACGTAGGTATAGCCGCAAAAGTGCCACATAAAATAACAAAACAAACTTAACCGTGATTACGTTTCTTCTTTTCTTCTGATTCAAGAAGTTCTTCAAGAACCTTATCGTCTAAATACTCAAATTCGAAAACGTCTCTCTGGTTTTGTCGACTCACGCCGGTAGAAGTTGAACCCGAAGACGAAGAAGAGGAAGCATAAGGAGGGCGAAGCGAGTAGTCGTCAACTCGTGAATAATACTCATTAGGGAAGTTAAGTATGGCCAGATGACCCCTGAGATTAAAGGCTGCTCGGTCATAAGCCCGAGCCGCATCCTCAGCGGTCTCAAATGTCCCGAGCCAAAGCCGAGCACCATTCCTTGACGGGTCTCGAATTTCTGCTGCAAATTTGCCCCATGGTCTCCTACGTACGCCTCGGAAACGAGATTGCTTGTCATCTTGTAATTGGCTGTTGCTTCTCCTGTTTGAGCCCTCCATAAAACTTTAGTGGTTCAAGATTGGTTTGCTTTGATGAGTTTGGTGAGGCAATGTTAATTAATAAAGAGATGAATGGATGATGCAATGTCGTGCGTGTTATTTATATACAAGGTTTGGGTTTTCGCCGAGTCAGAATCGACGTACGTTTTCATGTGACTTGAAGATTCTTGGCGTTGACTGTTCTTTCCTTTTATACCCTTA